GCATAAACTGAAAGTGAAACATTACAACTAGTGTACATGTAGATACTCTGTTTTTAATAATTAGACATGAGTGGCAGTATCATAAGAGGGCTTCTTTCCTCTCTTCTACATGATTTGACATGGGGGTTAGTCATCAAATTAACTCTAAAATTTCCAGCAACCAATTGACCTGAAGTTTCCTGTTGGGTTTTCATGACGGTGTGCAAAATGTGCAAATGTCCAATCTCTGTTTAAAAATTGTCATACATGAGGTACTGTACATAAGCCTGTGTACATTTACTACTTAGAGGGCAACAGTCACCCCCCCCCCCCCCCCCTTACCCAATTTCTTTTGAAAAAACAAGTCTCTAGTTCATGGGGGAAAAGTATTGGATGTCAGTGTTGCAGGTCTCCCTGATTTATATTAGGGAGCCTTCAATGGAAAGATTCCACCAATAACATCTAGTCATCTACTAATTATTTCACTCCTTTGATATGATGTTAGCTCCCCAGCAGTATGCCCTATGGCGTTGTATGCCATGTGGGCAATGCTTATTAGGTGCGTCTTCATCATCTCGAGATTGCCAAATAGCCCGCTATTTCTGATTTGGGAAAAAATCCCGAAGTAACAAATCGTGTCTTCATCAGCTCGAGATTCAACCTCCAAACTTGAAACTCGACCTTGAGATATTTTGCTCAGCGTTAGCGCATATTGCGAATCTTCGGTCTGGTGAAGACGCACCGGACAAATAGCAGGATATTTTGCAAACTATCCTAAGATATCTTGGGACGACAACCCCGACCAAATATCCTGCTAATTGCTACTTCAGTCTGATGAAGACGCAAATTACATGTAGCTGGATAGTTTGCGATCGGGATAGTTCAAGTCGGAGAGGTTAGACCCCTTAAACATTCTTTATGGTGTAAGTGCTGATTTAAAGTTATCATTATTGGTATGGGGTGGGTACAAAAGCAATAAAGTAAAAGAAAATATAAAAGGCACTTTATTAAATTCATTCATATCTATAGATGCATTCTTATGTTATTAATTGAGGAATTTGAAAAGTATACATATAGCCATCCAAACGTTTTGGTAGGTTTACAGGAGAAGATTAGATTAATTAGCCTTACACAGGCTCTGAATTATAGCTGGATAGGCAAAAAAGAAGAGAACTTCTTTTATGTACTAAAGTAAGAGTCATATTGTAAATGTATGACCAGCTTAACTTGTGAGATGATGGAGTGATTATCATTTAATTCTGTATTTCATGAAGAGCTATCTCTCCTTATCCATATGTAGTAAGTGAGCTGTTTAACTTTTAAACAGAAGTCAAGTTCAATATAGTTATTGTGTTGCATGTTGTGTAGCAGTTCCGCCGTGGCGCTAAAGTCTTTTTGCAATACATTGGGTTAAATTTGCCACACTCCACCCGAGTGAGGTAAATGGATACCTAGCAGGAATTAATTCCTTGAAATGCTAGAGCGCCATAATGGCCATGCTAAAGCTAAAAAATATGGAGCGCCAGGAGTGTAAAAAATGACTAATCAAGAACCCAGAACCCACTATTATTTATTTTGTTAGTTGACAAAGTAAAGAAGTACTTTTCTTTTGTGGTCCCAGGGTCATTATGAAAGTATTTTTTTTTAGTTAGAAATTTAAATACATGATTTCTGAAGGAGCATATAATCTACATGTAGGCTGAGAAGCACTGTGATTTGAGGTCTGTAGGCAAATATTGTTAAAACTCAAAACATAATGTATGTCATGAAAAGTACGCACTCCTCTCCTCAGTTATATCATAATAATAATAATGATAATAAAATGAATAATAATATGCCTTTATAACCCAGAGTAGCCTCATCAGTATTATTACCGTTCTCCCTGAGGGCCCTGGAATCATATTATTATATGTCATGACATTATAATTCCTATCAGGATTTGATAATCGTGTGCATACACTTCATTATACCAGGTGCGGGCTAGGGTACATTTACAAACAACTTGTTTACGCTAAACCGCTAAAAAGAGTCTCAGCTAAACTATAAAATTTCACTTAAGAAACCACCAAGTGAAATGATTGAAAGGCAACAAATTAAAGGAGAAGATTTGTTCTAACTGATAAATATCGCAGTAAGTTGTTAAATCATATTTTATCATGCAAAAAATTATAAATCATAGTATATCAAAGCTCTCCTCATTATATCGATGGCGACACATTTTCGGAAGCTTAAGTGTAGTCCCATCTACATGTATAGGGGTATGTGAAGGATGGTTACCTCTCGAGGACCGTTATACGTGCAGGACTGTTTGCGCTGGACTTGGTGCGTATGGAGCATCGGGGGCTTGGTCTTCTGAATGTCGCAAGTAAAATATGCTGATGTTTGATCAAGTTTGAGCAAAACAATGACTTAACAAAAGAATTGGTCAGGGTACTGTGACGATATGGTCGAGTTGATGCAATTGTAACTATCAAGTTTACTGGACTGCAGCAGCCACAGCATAAAAACAGCTTATCGATGAGCTATTTTGCATGTACATGTATGCATGCAAGGCGGGTGACGCAACCAGCTCATGAGCACACCTCCGATATAGATTTTAGTTTCCAGTCTTTTCATGAATCTTCCCATAGCTTAGAAAGCAGTTTCACACAAAACTACTAACTGCGCAAACACAAAACTTCGCAGAGAGCGAGACTGGAGTTTAAAGTCTAGTAAAATGTTAATTGTTGGCATATTGTTCCAGAAACCAAGGCAATGCGCTAGTGCCCTTTGGTAAGGCATTAATCCTCATTACCAGGTCCCTCGGAGAGGACCTAATGCCGTCGACCGTCTGGTTGCTTACTTACAAGCATTTATGCTTTCTTAGCAGTCAGGTAAAATAACCACCACCACCACCACCACCCACAGTGTATGTCTGGATAAAAACGAAGTCTCTTTTCACCTACCTCTGAAACAGAAAAATAACAATATCTTTAATAATACCAAGCAGTTTTTAATGAAAATTTAGTGAAGAATAGTATTATCATTCTATTTGTGTTATAAAATTTTCATGATCTTTGGTGCTAAAATAAGGGAGATATGTCAAGGCGAATTTTGGATGAATTTTGCTCTGGACTCTCTTTAAACAGAGCCTCGATAGCCGTTACAAATTTAAAAGCTTTTACAACTTTTTGGGGTTTTAATTGCACCCTAGCCCGCGCCTGATGCAACTATCATTAATCATGCTTAGAGGTGAATAATGCCTTCTGTGTGTTGCCTGCCTTGCTACAGTTGACAGTGCTCATGTTCTTTAGAATTATTTGAATTGTAAGATGATACTCCCAGCACCCACAAGCCAGAATAGTGTTTAATTGTCTCACAGAGTCACAGTTATAATGATATACCGTTAATAATAATAATAATAATAGTGTAAACTTATAGAGCGCACACACCGCCCAGGGACGCTCATGGCGCTAACTGTTAACATGAAGGTGTACCTCATTATTTTGAAAAAGCTTGTAATGCAAAGTTAATTATTTGAGCTTATTCTCAAAATATGCATCCAGATTTATGAATCTTGCCGTGCATACAATATTAGCAGAAAATTCAGTTTCTTTTGAAAAACATACACTGTAGTATTATTCAGATAGGGGTAAGCTCCATTCGGGTATCTTGTTTGATATACTCTAGGATACTAAGGTAGTCCTATACTTACATGAAAATTTACAAATAATCAGTGGTTTAAACTAGTTTAAACTCTGTACTATCAACTTGATTTGCATATTTGTAGCTCAAGGAAGTCTGAAAGATGTACACAAATAGGAAGAATTCCTAAAAGATCTATCTGGAGTATCGTCTCAAATCTGTAACAAGCACTCTTGGCTGATAGTAAAGATCATGCATGATTCACTTTAGAGTAATCAGTTACAAACAGTCTGGTCTGGCCCTTGTATATAGCCAGCCCATATCAGCCTACTTGCAGCTGATAATTGCGTATGAGTGACGCGCTCGTTTGTGTGTCACTCTGCAGGACGGGCTGGCAGCTTCCGTGGCAGGAAATCCCACCAGTTTGAGCTAAGGCCACAAAGTTCATTATTTTCACTGCTGGAGAAATTTCTATTCCTTTGAGAAACAATTTTTGACCCAAATCAAATAAGGCAATGTGCATGAAGGGGTTGTTTACATGTACATATGCTGATGTACTTGTATTTCTGGTTTAAACAAACAAAATTCTGTCACATTACTTTTTGCTTTAACTATCAACTTACTCTTAGGTAGATCTGTTGAGATTAAAAACGTTACAACTTGCTGAAAATTTCTTACATGATTAAAAGAGGATATGAGGGTACATGCATGTAAACCTTAATCAGATGAGAAGAGTTGGCATACATTGTGCAGTGCCTGCATGTAGCTGTAAGCGCATACATGCATGCCCCTCATATTATTGTGACATACAACATTTTAGATGGTTGTGTCGTGTGATTGATGCTCCAACTCTCATTTTTTGAGCATCTTAATCTCTTTCCAGATCTATAAAATGTTACCATTATCTTTGTCTTCCTTTGTCATTTTTATACGTTTCCATGCATGCATGATGGTGATATAAATAATTGTCTGCGGGCGGAAATTAACTCTACTTGGAGAATATTGAGAAGTGTTCTAATATCTGCACATATTTTTTCTATGTAAATATGTACATGTATCATGTTTCAATCTCTACAGAAATTCTGTAAGGTTTCATTTCAATTGCAGTACGGTAAGCATGCACAATGTCAAGTTGTCTACTGAAGTATTTTATTTATCTGGAGTTTACTCCTGTCCCGAAAGCGAAATACAGAAAAGGGAAGGGTATTGATGCCCAGAGCTTCTGTTCTATTTCTATAAAAAATTGTTATGGTTTGATTGGCTGAGGCAAGCTAGGTTATGAATACCGGTATAACAAAATAATATTTGTAAAGAAAATATTTGCGTGACAAAGGATGGCTTTTAGGTGCAGTTTACAGGAATTAAACATTGATGTTTTCTTCTCTTTTATTTTCCAGTGTTGTCACGATGGCGACAGGGAGCCACCTTGCAGTCAATCTGCAAGAGTTGGAGATGCTAAAACGTGAGATGCCCCAACAGATGCCAGCAGGGGTGCAACGAAGCACCTCTTTGGACAGCATGCCACCCCCAGCTCAGCCAGCTCCTATGGCAAATAATAATGCAACTGATCACCTACGGCAGCCACAACAATCTTTGGCTGGCATACCTGAATTACACAACTCCTTATCATCCCCTCCTCAAGCGTGTCCCGTACAACGAAGCCGCAGCCTACCCCTTCTAGATGCCAGCCAGGAAATGACTGCGGAAATCTTAGCACAACTGACTGAAAGAGAAAATGAACAAATGATGGTCACAAATGTAGGACAGCACTCTCTGCAGCAACAGCAGCAGCAGCAACAACGACGGCAAGATGCACAAGATCAACAACAGCCTGCACCTCAGCAAACACACCATCAGCACAACCTCAACAACAGAATTAGTGATAGCAGTAGTACATGCAACTCTATAAGTATCAGTAATGTAGTATCCAACAGCAGTAACATGAATAATGTACCATTTTCAGATTATATGCAGGCATCTCAGTATAGAATTTTCACCCAATCTCAACTACAGCAAGCAACTCACCTGCAGGAAAATTCACAGCCCCTGAACCTAAGCCAGACAGCAGAGGTTAGACAGATTCTTAGTCAAGGCTTACCCTCTCACATCCCTAGGGTGGCTAACTTTGCTGGACGTCAAGTCCAAGTTGGAAGAGATGAACTCCCACTTGACTGGCCCAACTTCCAACAGGCAGCCAGATACAGTATCCGCCCAAATGAGCCACGCCTAGGATTTCCACCATCTATGTTGCCTCCTGCCATTGGCCAAATGCCTCCTTCATTCAATCCTGCTTTTGCAGGAAGAGGGATTGATTCGTATGGAGTAGGGACAAGTGCTGAAGGCATCCGTTATAGTATGGCAGGTGCAATGAATCCTAATCTTCAGAAGCCTCATATGCCCTTGTCGGTGTTTGCCAGGCAGCATGCCTTTATCAAGGAAGAAGTGGGCCGTCAGTCTCCTAAAGATGGGACACGATTACTACAAGTTCCAATGGACCATGTTGAAAATAACAATGATAAATCATCACCTAACATCCAGGCCATGTCAGATGGTTCAACCAGTAACATAGCTGAGAAAAATATGATGCCCTTGTCAGTGAGTGTATCCGTCGCATTTTCAGAACCTAGCCAGGACAGTCCCTCGTTCTCGCAACAGAGCAACAGTCCTGCACTCCTTAAACCAGCAGCTGATCAGACACTCAGTATGATTAACTACCATGAAGATCATCTCCTATCTGACACAGGGCTCATGTCCAATAGCCCTGTTCCAAGCACGCTGGATGAGAATTTTCTCAACAGCAACATGATCATCAGCTCTAACTCTGCTGCCAGACTGAGTGATGCTACCAACCTGACAGGGCTTGATTCTAACCCACCCAGTGTCAAGATGGAAGGCTTTGACTTGTTTGAAGGCAGTGGGGATGTTGATGATCAGAACTACATCACTGATTCCATCTCACCTCAGTCTTTGAATATGGATGACTCTAATCAGGGACTACCTCATGGCATTCAACCAGGTCATGGCAATCCAAGGCCTCTCAGTCAAACTGGTATGTCTGCAGCTCTTTCTAGAGGTAAGCAAAAAGAGATTCAATCAATGATAGAAAAAAAATTAAGAAGAAGGATGGGGAGGTTGGGGGAATGATAATTGTTATACTTATTAAAGATATTATGATATCAAATGCAATCATGAAAAATTATAAAATTGATAAATTTCTTCCAAGATGAAATTTTGGTGAAAGGTTTGTGGATTGAAAAATTAAAAACGGTTTCTTTTGTTTCACTTAAAAAAAGTGTTGTTTAGGCAGTGCAACAAAACCTATTGAGCATTTCCAGTCAACAAGAAATTTCTTCCTGAATATTGTGTAATGTATGGATTTTTAGAATTCATTTTTGGAATTTAACCAGACTGAGTGCTTACTCACTGTTTTATTATTTACTCTTGAATTTTGATATTAAGACTACCTATATTGTACATCAGTGGATACTTATGTCAAATATTTCAAGTGGTATCAAGACTTCACATGAATTAAATGCACAATCAGTATACATTATGCACAGAATTTTGTTTGAAACAATGAAAATGCATTAGATGCTTTTTTTCCCCGCTGTACTAGCTTATTGCATTGGTTGTCTCAAGAATTCATAAAGGGCAATTCAATGTGTCTGCAAAGGTGCATCACTGGCCAAGTTTTATACACCATGCAATCAGAGAAATGTTTGATGTTTCATCAGTTTAGTCACGGTTGAGAGAGTGCTATTGGGGGCACTCCATTTGTGGCGGGATCTAGCATAATGAGTGCATCTGTAACGCAAGATGTGCATGGCTACTTCAGGAGTACATCTTGTCTGCTCTCCTGTGCCTAGGGAAAGTCCAGGGTAATATTGATCTGGAGAGAGAGAGAGAGAGCTTGTGACTGTGGAGGGCTTTATGGATGGATACATTGGATGTGAAGTCCGGAGAGGGGGTGATGCAATGCATTGCTTATGTTGGTGGACGCTACTTTCTCATCATCGCTCAACTAGTTATGGTTAGCGGCTAAAACGTGACTTTCATGGGTAGGAGCTAGAGAAGATGTGTGATGGGATTATGAACACAAAAGAAAAGGTGCATGAGGTTATCCTGCCATAGTTTTTCAAATGTAAAAGGCTGCATACAGTGTATACTGATATAGGCCATGTGTTAATAGAAAGAGATGTACATGTACAGTACTGTACATGTAACATTATTTACCAGTGTGGAGAGAGAGAGAGAGAGAGAGAGAATATGATGCAACTAGATTTTACTTTTTAGTTATTCAGATTAAGATATAAAGCAAATTTATATATTTCAAACGTACACGTACATGTACATGTATGTATTTCAAGCTCATTCCATTGCAGTTTACTAGCCTTTACTTTTAGCACCAACTGTGAGGGATTATTTTAAAGTATGTGCATATAATACGCTATGCAATATAATTTGTGCAACTAAACAGAAAAGTTATTGGCATATATAAGCTTTGCAATTGCTCTGAAGGCTGAATATTAAGTGTCATTTACAATCATTCAATTTGATACAATTCAGAAGTATTTTCTATAATGAAGCTATGGCAATACCTGTACATGTAAATACGATATGCATAGTGTTTGTTAGAATTGTAGCTGAGTGAAATTCATTAAGTGTTTGACCTTGATCTCAATGTGCACAATTCCACACAAGAGTACAGTAGTTATGATTAAGATCTTATTGAAGTCTAAGCTGTCATTCACAATAATTATTTGTGTCACTGTTCCAAGCTGGGTATGACTAATACTGAATGGGTCTTTAAAAATAACCATTCCTTGCAGTCCCCTGTAAATTTCTTATGCAGTTTGGGTTGTATAAACAGTAGACAGGAAACTAAAATCCCTCAGTGTTGTTTTAAATGCATTCTGCAATCTCCTCTGAATGCCAGCGGGAGATTTTCATTGTGGAGTTAAAATCTAAAGGTGAATTCATCTATTATATCTGGTTATATTCCAAACAATAATTTATACAGATTTATGAGAAAGTACTGAAAAAATAAGAAAGTTAATATGAAATTATGGACTTTCAAAGATCAAATTACAAATCAGGAACTCCATTGAATTCAAATATGCAAGTCACTCTCCTCTTATTTCATAAATTACTCCTTTTTTTAAAGAAGAAAGGAGATGTAATGTTCATGTGCCAAATTATATCATATGGAATAAATCTTTTAATCCTTTATTAATTGTTTCTGTAACTTTCTACTTTTTTTCTTCTAATTTCTTCAATTTCATATTTACAACTTTCCCTTTCAACAGAGCCTAGACTTAAATTCACTCTAGACACCTTTTTTTTGCAAGAGATCAGATGTCGGATGACAATTTCCCTTGTTGCTTAGGCTGATGTACAGTACATGTGCTACACTTTTTAACCTGTCCATTGTATTACCTCAATTTTCACTCCAATTTCATGAGTATACCTGAACTTTACCAGAAGTTTCTTGAATAAAATATGCATGTGATGACACCATGTGTTGACACTGTATTGAAAGCAATGTGACCTTTCTACTGCACCTATGTATACTGTCAATAGCCTGACCGGTGTGTGATAATGCAGACCCCAGCTGTGTACACGTAGATTGTTACTTGACAGACAAATCAATTCTAGCATTGAACTTGGTATCTATGTATTAAAAATCTGTCACCACCCACATGTGTGATGAAATGATACAAATCCAGGTCTAGCTGTGGGAAACAAACTAAACGACTATCGTCCGTTATCATTATTACCTATAACAGCCCTTTTCAAACTTTTCTTAGTCAAGACACCCTTAAAAGAAATAAAAAATGTTGCGTCACCCGATCCCAAATACATCATAGAAGATTCATTTTGCATCACTCTGGCATTCGTCAAGTGCCATATACACACACACACATTTCTTTCTAAATTTTGCGAGGTGGCCAAAAAGAACATTTTTGATATATAACAAATTATAATCAACACACTAGATAAGATAAAAAATAATGTAGGCGGGCACCTTGCCGCCGAATATAATTATTTTGGTCTCCTCAATACACTAAATTTATATGAGGATATGATTGGGCATCTCGTTGCCCAGAATTAGCCCGTTTCTAAATGTTGCAAGTGAGTAAAGCGAACGAGCGTGGTCAAAATGTAATTTTGAAATAAAAGATATAAGATATATGTATATTTGGGCACCTCAGTGTCGAAAAGGATATTCTGGTACCTCGTTGCCCAAATATAGAGCTATTAATCCTTTGTTCTACAATTGCCTGAACGCAAAATGCATAAATAAGTTGGTGCTCTTCTGGGTTGACAGTTTCTCATAAATGAAATAGATTTGTCAACTGCTATATTTTAGCATTTTTAAATGAATAAGTTAAATTGTTCTCCTGTTTCATATTTTTCACCAAATATAATTCCCATCTTTTCACCTATGGATTTTTCCTTATTGAAAAGTAAAGTTTTTGTTAATGATTTAAAAAGTCTTTCCAACTAAAGCATGAAACATGTACAACTTCAACTGGTACGTCACATTCTCAAGACAATGGCTGCTCCCATGTCATGCTAAAGGCATTACATCCAGGCACAGTGGAGCACCCCAATTACCGTGCGATCGACTCTCGTCCAGTAAACATCATTTGCATAAAATCAACAATTGTGTACCGATCGATGCGAAAAAAAGTAAACAAATTTCGAAGACAAATTCTTCATTAATGTGATGAATATCACCAATCAAAGCTACTCAATCGAGTATTGAATAAATTTGCAAGACACTCATGTGTATAAAAAGAGTTATTGATGCACAGAAAATGTGAAATTTAAGGGATAGTTTTGACGAACAAAAACGAAAAAAATGAGATACAAAATCACCGTAAAATTCACCATTTCTTTTAGTGCGAGAAAGAATTGCCTCGTATGAACAGAAAGAAAATTTAATAATCTCAATCCTTGTGAAATATCTCTTTTCATAGTTGCTTGATAGGGTCGCAACAGAGAAAAACAGACCCCAATGTCCGAATCTCATCGAACAAAAATAATCCTTCGTTGTCGCAAAATTGTTTGACCAGTCCCATACATTCAAATGTGTGTCATGTCTGAACCTCGCGTGTGCGTTGGCTATACATGTCTTGCCAGCCGACTGCACACGTGCACGCTAATGGCTCAGCTGTTTCGATCTGGCCTGCACCGGGCCTAAGACGCATGCGCAGTACATCGCTGAGATCGATGACGTCATGTTCAATGAGTTCGCTGACTACAACTTTTAAAAATGAAGCCCCATGAAAAAGAACGTTATAACCAAAAAAAATACAGCGGAGAAGCGAAAATTTCGCCCATGTATGGATTCAACCCTAATGAATATTCATACCAAGTCTCTTCTTCGTGCATTGCTTGATAGGGTCACAAACTTAAAAAGTAGACGTCGTGTTTTTCGAGGGGCGAAGCTCAAAACACATTAATATCTCGAGTTTTATTCCATGGAATTTCGTATTTATTTCAATGACATCAAATTCATAATAATTTTAGTTAGTATGGAAAGTTTCATAGCGATATTGGCAGTAATAAAGGCGCAACGCGAATTTTAAGATTTGACATTCTAGCACACACATGTTCGGATTCACGCAGATGTCCGTTGGTTATTCAAATAGAACGGGGCGCTAATGATATGCAAATTGGGGTGCTCCGCCGTGCCTGCATCATGCCAAGAATATCCTCATTTATATCCCTTGTACATTTTTGTAAAGAATGTTGTACATCAAAGAGCGGGAATTGTCTTATTTTTTAAGAATACCTACAATAATTCGTTTGGGAAAGGTTTCCTTTAATAATGATCACATTGGTCTAGCTTTAATTTTTTTATTTCTTTTTTCTATACTTGCATACATGTATAACTAACTGTATGTGTATTTCAGAGATGAAATATCGACATACACTGTAAGGCCACTTCTGAATCGCTTTTCCCCCACAAGATATCAATAAATTATAATGGTTTATATGGCATTTTTTAGAGACTATTGTTTGCAGGTAATGTTTCAATGTTTCAGTGGATTTTATGTATAACAGTACAACTCTAACAAAATTATACTGTTTTGACACTGGCAAAATTTTGCTTAACCCCGTACTACAGGTGGGGTTAAGGGGGGGTCTTAGCCCCACCTATATAGTCCGGGTAGCCTATTCCACTTTCTGTTCAGACTCATATTTACCAAAGTGGGCTAGCCCCGCCTATAGTACGGGGTTAACTAACCCTGCAAAATAGCAGGGCTAACCCCGCAATTGTGGTGCTAACTCCTGCTAACCCCGCAATTGCGGTGCCAAGCAAATGAATGAGAACAGAAACGAAAAATAGTCCGGTTCTACGCAATGGAGCGTATCGCAGCTGGCCAGATGCGAAGTAAGGAGCCCACTGTCCAATCATAACATTCAAGATATCCGGGGCTAAAGAATTGCAGTGAGAACAGTGTGAATTTTCTTATTCCGGAATAGGCGCTAGTACGAGACTAAAAACAACGTGTGTGAAAAGCCAAAAAAAAAGTCCGGGGTTAAGGATAGTACGGGCTAAGCAAAGTACGGGGTTAAGCAAAATCAGTGTGAAAATAGTATTAGAGTACAACAGTTATTTGATGAAGGATTCATGAAGCTAATGCATGCTGTTTTATTGAAATATGCATGTAATTTTGGCTTTAAATGCAGAGGTTCAGAGAGAATTTACATTTCATTTTCTTGAAACTTAACATCTTTGTTTCCTTTTTAACATCATGCAGAGTCTTAGATGTCACACCTCATGTCTCCCATCCCAAAGAAAGGGAATTAGTCAAAGTATTGGTGCAAAAGCAAAATTGAAATGGTCTTTTCCATGAATAGTGACTCACTCAAAAACAACTACATTTCAAGCTAATCCAGTTCAGGGATAGAGAAGGCAGGCAGGCGTAGTTGTAAGGGTCTAACGAGCCAGAAACGTCAGGTTTGATAATTATCACTATTTCTCTGATTCTTGAATAGTCAACCAATAGCAGCTTCCGCCTGCCTGCCGCGTGAATCAATGCAGTTTAGCGGTGGGTGCTCATTCTGTATACGGGTTATTCTGCTATTGAGCTTGGGATGTTTTCATGAGACTGATGAAGCATGAATGGATGAAAACTGTTTTGATTTTCCCCTCCCTCTCCCTCTCTCTTGCTTGCTTACTCTGATCACAAACCAGACAAACAATCAAACATATAGGTGAGTCTTAGACTTCATGCTGTCAACTATAATACTTGGACTCATTCAGCAAGGCATATATCTGGCTTTAAATTATCAAATATTAATTGAAATACATTAGAGAGTGTGGAATGGATTGCTTGTGAAAGGAACTGTGTGAAAGCTAAGGGATTGGAAATGGTTGATCATGTTGAAGTATCGCTGTATATTGCGAGGTTTTAGTAATTAATATCAAATGATAAGAAATTGGCCTAATCTTGCCAGAAGTTTATGGGAAGTATATGGCACTACCAGTAAACAACATTGCATGGAAAATGTGGTCTACAACCTTTAGCTATTAAATGTACTTGTCATTTTTGTCTCGCCTGCGTAGCAAAAAGCGAGACATAGGCGTCACTTTTCTGGTGACGGCGGCGACGGCAGCGTCAACATCAAAAACTTAACCTAAGGTTAAGTTTTTGAATTTTTGATATAATTTTGAAAGTATAAGTTCTTAGTCAATGAAACTTTGACTATAGGGTAATCAAGTATCCCCAATCATGTGAGTAGAATTTCAGATCACAAAGTCAAGGTCAAAGATCATTTCAGGTCAACAGACTTGGACTATGTTGTAGCATCATCATCGAAAACTTAAAGGTACTATGTCCCATTTGCAGGTCAAAAAAATGAAAAAGTTAAATTCCAACTGCATTTGAAAGATAATACTAATTTAGAACTTCCCTAAAAAAGGTGGGGCTTGAAAATGTCTTCAAGTGGGAAAATAACGACTATTAGTTGTCAAATCGACTTTAGGGCTATAGAGCCCAAAAGTAATAGTCTTGATTTTCAGACATTTTGTACCGAATGGTCATACGTTTAATGCTGCGCAAAGATTCAATCAGTTTAATCTTGGCCATCATAAGAAGTGGGTTATTGATGTAGATAAATGCTCATGTACCCTTGACAACTCTTTTCATGTATGTTATTACCAAAGAAGAAAAAAAGCCAGTCAGTCACTCAATAGTGTCTGACAGTGAAGTCTACCAAGTAAATGGGTTTCCTTGCATAATTTGAATATGAGGACACTTCTAACGTTTAAATTTCACAGATAGGACATACACTGTACATGACATATTCATAATTCCTGCAAAGTTCTACAGAATTTGAGGTTGGCTGCAAAAGGGACATAGTACCTTTAACCTAAGGTTAAGTTTTTGAATTTTTGATATAATTTTGAAAGTATAAGTTCTTGGTCAATGAAACTTGGAAGCTCAAAAAATATTTGTTTACCTTTTTCAGAACTTATCATTCTCTGTAAAATTCTCTGAGAAGAAAGAAACTACAAGGATACAT